GGGGGGGGGGGGGAGGGGGTATCAGCTTCGCATCCGCGCTCCCCCCTTCAAATAATCCTGGATGCAATCCTGCATAGGTACATGTAAATACGAGTTTTACTTATTAAAGAAAATACCAGGTTTGCTGGTCGAGTTCACTGACTGTTGGTATTAAAAAAATCCAAATGGAATTACCAGACGACTTCCATGACAATTTCATGAATATATTTGATGAATGAAGACTAGATATTAAGTTTAGAGATATTTAGATACTTAGTATAAGATTTAGGTACTTTGGAAAAATGAGCCAGGGACTGTCGGACAGCCACAGACTGGGAGTTCTCACTTCCAGATTCAAACTGTGCGAGGATTGGAAAGAGCATCTAGTAAGAGAGAGGAGAAATTTAAGATATTGTTTCACCCACGATGGAACTTTCACATGGAATTTAAATAAAGGCTGTGTCGCTTGTAGACCCCCATTCATGTGTTTCATGTTAAAAAGTAACCTCCTTCCAACGAAGAAGTTCTGATAGAAAAATGAATTGTGAACATGTGCATGCGCAATCCAACTGTTCTACATTTTAACAAGAACTTTTTAATGTGCAATATATAAATCGTCAGCAGTTGCAATTCTTTTGTTTGATATTTTTAGAGTGTAATAGGGTAATTAAAGTATTTGAAATATATCTTTCTGATGAATTATCACTGTTTCCCAACCACGGCGAAAAATAATTCCCCATTTCATGATCAGAATTGCACATTAAGCAACATTACTGTGCCATCATTCAGAATTCAGCTCGATACAAGCAGGCGTAATCTGCAGTTCATAGTTTATGTCTCAGTTAGCCCCTAGTTAAAAAAATTTACTGTTCTGGGTGAAATAATATAATGGAACTTTATTAAACCGCAGAAATATTTTAAACTTTTAGTGATGATTTTATTACTAGTGAAAACTAAGCAATGATATATGGCACATACNGAACTTTTTAATGTGCAATATATAAATCGTCAGCAGTTGCAATTCTTTTGTTTGATATTTTTAGAGTGTAATAGGGTAATTAAAGTATTTGAAATATATCTTTCTGATGAATTATCACTGTTTCCCAACCACGGCGAAAAATAATTCCCCATTTCATGATCAGAATTGCACATTAAGCAACATTACTGTGCCATCATTCAGAATTCAGCTCGATACAAGCAGGCGTAATCTGCAGTTCATAGTTTATGTCTCAGTTAGCCCCTAGTTAGAAAAATTTACTGTTCTGGGTGAAATAATATAATGGAACTTTATTAAACCGCAGAAATATTTTAAACTTTTAGTGATGATTTTATTACTAGTGAAAACTAAGCAATGATATATGGCACATACACAGTGTAGATTACGCCGCCCTTCATCTGTTGCGTAAGTTTACATTGAGCTGTACCTTGTAATTTGAAAATCTGTGCGTAGTCTACAATTTTAAAAGGTTTAGTTACGCCCCTGACAAGGACATTTTTAGCATAGCATCATATGATTTTAAGAGTCACCTGATGCATGTTTTTCCCGGTGTCGAGTGAATAAACCGTTCTGACGGATTATTCGCATCGAGGTACAGGCCGTGAAGAAACCATCTCCGTGAATTAAACTGTCGTGCCACTCAGGTTTTATCATGCAATGTGTAGTCACTGTAACGACCTATCCCTATCTAATTATATCACCTGAATGACCTTACCTAGCTGTCGTTCTCAAGATAGTACTGACGGTACTAAATGAACACCTGGTCATAAGGAAAGGATTTCTAGATGGGAACGTTCACATTTTGTTCTTATGTATTTTAAGTGAAGTTTATCTTTTGGTGCCAGGTGTCCATAATTGCACATTAGTTATATATTATTGATGTTTTTGTTGACTGCGGTAAACGTAAGAAAGCAGATCCAAAACAATCACTACAGAGATAAAGTTTTACTTATTAATGAAAATAGCTGGGTAGCTGGTTGAGGTCATAGGTTGTTGATATTAAAAAAAAAATACAAAGGAAATTCTCGGACGACTTCCATGCCAATTTAAGGAATATATGTGATGAATGAAGACTAGATTTTAAGTTTAGAGATATTTAAATACAGACAAAAATCATAATGATATAATTGTAATGTTTCCCATTCAATCCAGTGCCACATTGAGATTTCAGGTTTTTTTGAGATCAAACAAAAATTATATATATATATATATATATATATATATATATATATATATATATATATATATATATATATATACACACACACACAATATGTGATATCAAGCAATCTTGGCAAAAGGCAAAATTATCCATAATTTTTACACAGAGAGGGATTAAAGGGATAGCGACTGTTCATTTTGGCCAAAAAATTAATTTTCCTGGGGTAAACAGCAATTTTTCCATACTTACCAATGGTTAGTGAATCCATTTCTACATTCAAAGTTAGTCCCTTTTTTGCTAAAAAAATTTTTTGTAATAATCTCTAAAAAGATATAGATCTCATGCGAAGAGTTGTTATCCCTTTAATATTGGCCCTGAATATTCTGTGATTCATTCTGAATTGGAGTGTCTACAATGTCGTGTCATTTATCTTATAAACTTAGACTGAAAATTAAACATGAAAAATATAAAACTAAACTAGAAAAGCACTCAGAGAGCGCAGACCTCCGCCAAGGCAGCAAAGTCTCCATCCAATGCCGTTTCACACCTAAATTTCCGGTATTTTTGATTATTGATAGATTATTGATCCAGATCACTGATTATTTTAAACTATTGATCCGGATTACCACCAAAAACTAATCATCTGTTCCTTGGCCCTCTTCTGATAGTTCCTGAAAATTTCATCAAAATCGGTCCATAACTTAGTATTTTTTATTATTGATTATTGATCCGGATCACCACCAAAAACTAATTTTCTGCTCCTTGGCCCATTTCTGTCAGTTTCTGAAAATTTCATCAAAATCGGTCCAAAACTTTTTGATTTATGTTGATGACAAACAAACAAACAAACAAACAAACAAGCAGGGGTGAAAACATAACCTCCTTGGCGGGGGGTATAGATAGATAATAGTAATCTTTATTGAAATATTGCAACCCGAAGGTTGTCTCAAATTGCATGTTTTTGTTCTTTCAGTCACCAATGACAAAAACCAAGAAGTTAATTGGAGATGAAGGGATCATTTTCAGGAACATGGTATGTATACTTATTGCACTGGAGGAGCCGGGACGTCTAGAACTAGATGGAGACCGGGTCCTAAATTTTAGGGTGATGCCTTTCCTCTCCCTGTGAAAAAATCTGATAATAGAATTGAGTAATGCAAATGAAAACTTTTAACACTAAAACTTGAGTTCCAATGAAACTATTTTTACGAGGCACATTAAGAGGCACTTTTGTAGTACTGAGACAATGTGCTCTGCCAAAATAGGTTCATCTGCATATATATATATATATATATATATATATATATATATATATATATATATATATATATATATATATGCAGTGACATACATTGATAGGGGCACGGTTTATCTGGACTTATAAATTTAATTTTTGGGCAACATTATTTCGTGGTTCATATCTGAAAAAAGTGTTTAATGTATTTTTATATAAATCTTAAACTTTGTCCCTTGAATTTATTATTCAGTTTGCCACCAGTCCATTATGTTGTCCGAGTCGATCCAGCATTCTCACTGGAAACTATGTCCACAACCATGGTGCTGTCAATAATAGCGTGGACGGGAACTGCAGTAGCCCCATCTGGCAGAAGCAGTCAGAGACGAGGGCCTTTATCACATATCTCAAAAAACAGAAATACACCACTTTTTTTGCAGGGAAGTATCTAAATCAGGTTGGTACTTGTAACTTTATATTTTTTTACATGCAATTCAAAAGTGTTTCAGACTAAGGCTATTCAAGGCATAGTATAAATAAATAAATATATATATATATATACAGTATATTTTATTATTCTTTATTTATATTTCATCCTGGTTGGCTTTATTCTTACTTTATGAGCCTAGTTTATTCTTACTTAATGGGCCTCATCCTTGTATTTTTTGGCCAAAAACATTATAAGCTGATGACATGGGCCTAGAAATAGAGAAATTGTTTTAGGTCATTTTCAACTGGATGTGTGTGTCTTCTATTCCAGTATGGCAAGCTTGAGACAGGGGGCCCGGAACATATACCACCTGGCTGGGACTGGTGGAATCAGTAGGACACATACTGTCAGGATTTAGGTGTGATTTGAAACGTCATGGATTTTTTGGTACATCCGCGTCACGAAATAGCGCCAAAAAAGAGGCGCGATGAAAAATGCGTACGTCTGAAATAAATAAACTTTGCAAAAAAACTACAGTGAATTGACTTTCCATATTTTAGAGAATAAACGAGGAGTTATCCGTCTATTGAAAAACTGTAAGCTTTTGTCAATGCACTGCACAGAGTTACAATTGTTTCTCTCCGAATCCAGAAAACTGAAAATTTTACGTGTCCGAAAATGCTTTTGTATAGCGAGGGACTATATATCGAGGAAATTGTTTCCAAATATGAAATTGGCTTAAAATTAATAAAATGGTCGAATATATATCCAGGTTTTCGATTTTGAAGGGAATTTCCCGCACACTCTCTGGTTAAGAAGTCTCGACAGAAAATCAGAAAAGTTGTGAAAAAACAGAGCAAAATTCCTCCCCTGAGGCACCTCCGATAAGAGTGCACATCTCATTCATTTCCCGAACTTAAAATTACGTTTATTCATCCAAAAAAGTTAGTGACTAACCTCAATTTTCACGCAAAGCAATGATGTTCCATAAGTTGCTACGACAGCATTTTTTTGACCTTGAACTGTGGAAGTTCAAAAAAGTCATGTGATACAAATCATGTGACGCGCAGATTTGGGTGCTAAAATGCACCTTTATAGACCCAAATTAAGTCAAATATAAATTTAAGAAACAGAATAAACATTCCTTTTATCAAAGACCAAAAACTTAATACAAATTTAGTAAATTTACCGAAATCCCGCCCACTAAACGAGAGGTGAACTGAGGTGCTTTCCAACGAAACCCCGCTATTTACCACGAGGCAAGGAGAGGTGAAGTAGGTTGTGCGGCAAGTTATGATTTTTATCCTTGCTGAAATATGGAACTCACATATTTATAGCATGTCAAAGACTCATTATCAGGTACGTATGCAAATTATTTAGATTGCAAATTATATATAAATGCTTTTTATTACGAGAAATGTGCTAGTTTCACTCCACTACATACTGTACATAATCAAACACTTTTGTTATACATTGTATCTTGTAGATTTGTTGTTAAAAGGTGCACCGTGTGACCGACGCAGGCTCATTCAGAGTAATCTAACTCCGACTAAAGTTCGGTTTTAAGCTTAACTTTTGATCTAGTGTTATTTAGAATACTAATATTACATAACGACATGTGCCTTAATTAGTACGTACGTGTACTGTAGCTGTATAACGTACGTAGCATTGCGAGCACCTGTCATGTGAAGTATAGATAATGTGTTTGAGAGTTGTATATTAATTTAATTATGAATACATCACCTTTTATTTGTAATAATTAGCAATAGGTCAGGGGAGTATTTGGCAAGATTTAACATTTCCCTTGTCTTTTTTCAGGCTGATAAAATTTTAAAAACTTTCTAACATTGATGTAAGGAAAAAGATGTTTGGATATACATGTAGAATGGTAGAAGTATTTATGTAATATGAGCCTTTTTCATGATCAGTTAACACTCATTTTCAGTATAAAGGTCCATTTGAAAGTGAAGGGTTTATTTTATAAATCATTGAAAATTTTAAAATCCATGACTTGCTAGTACAGGTATGAAAATGAAAGTTGAGACATTTATACACAATACTCACTTACTGTTGAAGTTGTAGATTTTTTACTTAAGTTAAAATGAAGTAGATCTATTGGAGAATGTTATATGGTTCTAAGAACAACAGTGATAAAGGTTTTAAATATAATCCATTTATGTTTTCTGTATGAAAAAAAGATAAAGCCAGTAATTATTATTTTATTATGTGAGTTCCTAGACTTGTGTTAGTTAAGTACCACTTGGACATATCTTCTGTCCCTCGCTCATTGTTAGTCAATTTTTTAAATGTTAAATGGACCTATATATTGAAAATGGGTGTAAACAGATTGTTTTTACTTTTAGTTGCATGGATATTGTAAATTCTGAATTTATTCTGATTTTCTTTTCCAGTTAAAAGAAGAACAATTTTTTCAGATATTATAGAATCTCTGCCAGGCTTTGAAGTGCCCTGAAAAGTGATCACGATGATATGCTGCATCATTATCATGCATTCCTATCAGTCATATTTAAAAAAAAAACTGTCACCAAGCCCTTAGTGAAAATTGGTTATCAAAGTATTCTTTGGCAGCACTTACATTTTTTTAAACATAAATATTGAATTTTTTAAAAGAAATATGACTTTGGTGGTATTTCTTTAAGATGATTGGATGGCAGTGTTGCAAACAAGTGTTAATATGGACACATTTTTTCTTATTGGACTCCCAGGAGCCAGACTGCTTTTCACATTCAAACAAGAATTTAAAAAGAAAAAATGTCAGAATAGTAAAAGAGGTATTTTGAATATATTTACAGTCCACATTCATTTATATCCAGTATATAATGCCTGGTGTTCACAAATACAGGTAGAGACGTCACCTTTTAGGAAGCAAGTTACATGTTCCCATATTTTAATATCAGATATCAAATGCAAGCATATGGAGCTGTTTTGAATAAAGACATAAATTGTTCTTGGTGATCAGCATATTTTTCTCTTATTTTAAGTCTTAAAAGGATAGCTAATGTATTTAAAGACGGAACATGTATGAAAATTTCTTCAGCAAAAAAAAAAAGGAAAGTCATTAAGTTCAACCTAGTGCAATGAAAGTGAAAATTTTATATTTGGAAATATTTTTTGTTTTTATTTTAATAATTTATGTATTTTTTACATTTTTACACACTTTGTATAACTAAATACTTTGTGTATTCTTACTAGCGCCCATGCATATGGACTTCCTGTGCATGTATACTTGTACCATTGTTTTGAAAATAAAATTACATCCTGTTGTTTTTTACCCTCTGTTATTGAATATAAAAGAGGTAACTGTTCATATCAGCCCAAAATGGATTCTCCTGGAGTAAATGACAATTCCCCCCTTCTTACCAATATAGTTACTGCCCGGGGTACTGAATCAGTTTTGACATTCAAAATTAGTCTGTACTGAAATTTTTTTAAATTTGTTTTAATATTTCAAAAGATTACAGAATACAGCCACCATGTGATTGGATGGCAAGAACAGTTTCCAAAATAATTGTTAAGACTACCATTTTGGTGGTAAAATAGAATATATATTGTATTCCTATGGGTTCTTTACACTATTTATTCTTAAATGTGAATCTCATACAAACAGTTGTTAACCCTTTAAAATATTCATTAAAGAAACGATGAATTTGCCTGTGTAAAATAGAGAAAAACAACTTGGTTCTATTTTAAACTTAAGAAATGTTCAGTTACCTACATAATTTCATAAGTAACATTGAAACATATGCAAGGTACATGTACCGGTAGTAAGGCATAGAAAAAGAAGGTGCAACAATATTAAATTTACAAATAAGATATATAACTGACACGTATTGTTTGACTTTCAATTGAAAACTGTAATAATATCCAAAATAACCGGTGATAATCGCCAAAATAAAGTACATCTGCAAATGTAAACAAACGCCGAGTTGGTCCCGTCTTGGGTCATGGATGACGCAAAAAGCTGGATTTTGCACGATTTTTGGTACAAAAAATTCCGCAACATTTGTTTCCAAAGATGGATTTTAATAATTTTTTATACATGCAACATTGATTAAAGGATACGTTATCTCTTATCCGGAATTTCCCGCACACTCTCTAGTTGAGGAATAGTGGCCAAAGTTACGATGTTGCCAAGGTCAAATTTTACCGCTCAGTGCGACTTTGACGAACGCAAGCTCGCTCTAAACTACATAATTTCAATAGAAGTGTACATGAATATGAAGTCTACATACCCAACAATCATAATATCGTATTAGACTTGCTAAGTATGCATTTATTTAGATTATATAGCTATTCTTCGACCAAGTTTAAATTTTTACAAAATTTGAGCCCGACGTTACGTCCTGGCGCGAGAAAACGACGTTATATCACTCCGCATCGACAGTATGTGTCCTACTGGAATGGGCTGGTAAGCTTATGTAACTAGAACACCACTTTACCCTGAGTATCAGAGGTGACTGGATGGCCTGAAGTCATGGGATGACGGTCCAAAGATATGATGTGGGTCACATATCATGTCACATGTCACACGTAATGGGTCACACTTCATGTCATGTATCACACATCATTGGTCACACATATCATGGGTCACATGTAATGGTTCATATCATGTCATGGGTCATTTTTAATTGTTGGGAGGG